AATAATAGTTATCGGAAAATGTGATACTTTAACATCGTTAAACATTTGTCGACGTTAATCAAAAATAATTGTAACGATCTATCGAAGAATGGAATCGAAATTATATTACCATAGAAACGCCTTTTCATTTTTAGCACTTTGAAAAATTCAACTAAAATATTATGTTTTTTTTTTAATTTTCTCTATTACGGTATATTTGAACGGATTTCTCTATAACGGTATATTGGCAACAGTAGTTGGAAAAGTATAAACGGGATATCCATTCTAGAACAAGCAAAATTTTTTATGAAGAATGCATTTTTCTCAAAATGTCAATAATAAAAAGGTTTTTTCTTTTGTAAAGACAATCCAGAGACAGACTGTATACTATACATTTACATTTGGTATTATATGCTATTTTTTCCTGTAGATATCATATTTTATTATAGTACCTACATAATGTATTTAACTTATATTTATGTCATTCTAAAATATTTCGGGTCTGTGGTCAAAAGGCATTTTATTAAATTCTAAACTTACTAAATTCATTGAATTTTTTAAGTATAAGTAGAAAGTAATAAAACAGTTCCGATGATCGACAGTGATAACGTCTCCAACCCCACAATTCCCATAAAGCCTGACTGACCACAGGTGTCCTTAGGGTCGGTAAGTCACCGAACAGATCGGTAAAAAAGTCGGCCACATGGTACTTCGACAAAGCAGTCAACAGATAGCCGTGCGCGTATATCCGGCCGCGGGCAGGTAACGTTTCCGCTCCTTCCGGTCACGGAAGACGCCCATCATCAGAAATTCGTTCCCATGGTCGCGCTTCGTGGCGCTACTATCGCGCGGCGGTGTCATATGGCAGCGGTGCCTTATGGGGGTTTATGGATGGACGCCCTTCTCAAGAATAAACAACATATTTTTGAGAAATACCTTGAAAATTGTAGAATATAAATTTAATACATCTAACAAACATGTTATTAAGAAGTATACAGGGTGGTACAAATTGTATTCGGACTGGCTTTTCGTCCGTGCCCGTATAAAACTACGAGTTAAATATGCATTTCCATAATATTTTACGCAAAAATAGGTAAAAATCGCCACGAGCATCCTTCTTCAAGATATCTGCAATGGAAATAGTCTATACATGTCATTATTGACAAAAAATAAACATGTTGACTAAATAGTTATTTGACTGAAATGATAAATTTGGGATTTTTCGAGGGATTTTTTTATTTTTTAAGCTAATCATGAATTTTTCTAGAAAAATACGATAAAGAAATTTCTGTTGAATCTTTGGCACCAAAACATTTCAAATTTATTATTTCAGAGTAATAACTATTCAGTCAACATGCATAATTTTTGTCAGCTCACAACAAGAAACTATACAGGGTGGTCCAAACTGTATTCCGGAAACTTTGGCAGCATATTCTGCAGATAAAAATAAGTAAAAAAGTTCTTATAACCTTCTTTCTTTACCAAGAGACCTTTTTTACGTAAAAAAACATCGTAAAAGTATATATTTTTACTCAATAGTTTTATACAGGTACGGACGAAAAGTTATTACACTTCAAATCAGTTAAAAAATATATAGATGGCGCCCTCTACAGTAGGAGTCATATTGACATTAAAATCAAATTTCTCATGTCAAAAAAACTCTCAGATACCAATTTTCATCCAAATATTGACGTTACTTCAGAAATTATTTGTAAAAAATCGAAATAAAAATTAAACTTCCACACCCTGTATCACCGAAACTAAGCATTTTAAAACATACATCTATATACGAACTTTTTTCCTTATTTTTATCTGCAGAATATGCTGCCAAAGTTTCCGGAATACAGTTCGGACCACCCTATAGAACACTTAAAACTAATTATTAAAGTTATATTTACAAATATCTATATGAAAAATTTATTTTGATTGGTACATTTCTGGTATCCCCCCTTCCAGATTCCATAATGTGCCCTACTATATTTACCCACTGGGTATACGACGGGTACTCAATTTTCAATATACCGGGTGTTTGCCCATCACTAATCCAGACATATATACTGGCGCACCGGTCGGTGTGACGCCACTGATGCACGTTTGATTTGTGCAGTATATTTTGTCTATGTCCATTATTGTTTTGAGATAAATGATAATAGAAAAGAATGCTTATGTTACACTAAATACCGACATTAAAAAGAAATCTCATACACGACAATTCTCATAAAAAACATCAATTTCGAAAAAACAAAATCGAATGTTCTATACATATAGCGCTTTCCAATAAAAATTCGATCATTTTTAAGCACGAAACATGCCGTTAAAATCTCTTAAACTTAAGACAATTTCTTTTTCTTACTTTTACTGCGCCACTATACAATACAATTTCATCGTCGTTTATACGAGGGGTCGTAAAAACGAACGTGAAATGTCAAAAGCTTGTCACGCCTACCCATACATACGCGCCGTGAGTGATAGAAGTCGCATCCGCCCGATTTTATTGTGTCTGAAATGATAGAGGTGTCTTTTTTATTAGGTTTACCGCACATTTTATAATCTGTGGAACGACTTTTAAAAAGAAAACGACGTTCTGTTTAGCCCTCTTCCTGCTTCTTTCGTACAGTGTTGCCGAATAATCGCGGAATCGTATATTTAAATAACAAGGACTTTATTTCCAAAGACTTTAACGTATGATCGAAAAAGAAACGGCGTCTCAATGGCATTTGAAGATCCAAACGATGATATTTGTTGATTAGGGTTTTCAATTTTCGGAATCGGGATTCCGTTTTGAAATACAGGGATGAGACCTATATCCCGGGATAAGAACATATTATTCCGGGATCCTGGGATTGACTATCAGAATGAGAAACCTAATCTAAAGAAATACCTATACTTAATAAAAAGGCAGCTCCATATATCAAAGAGAAAATGAGAAAAGAGCATTATTAAAATAGACAAAACAAAGTAACATTCATATTTAGTGGGAAGTAAAAAAATACAATTAATTCTAGTTGCAAAAAAAAAATAAAATATGGCAAACACGGGAATATAACTTTTAGATATTGACGTTCTGCCTAGTATAAATAAATTATGATTTTTTAAAGACTAAAATATATAAAGTCGAATCATTTTGGATTGGGCATTTAAGTTTTTCGAGATTTTTGGGATCCTAGGATTAAATATCGGGATTTCGGGTTTAGAAACCCTTTGTGTGGTATATTAAAAATTGACAGAAAAAATACGTATAAACTTGTAAATTTAATTTAAAAAAAGTAAAAAAATTACAGACACAAATCTAATAATAATGTAAAAGTAATATTAATGCTTAGAAATATAGTCGGAAATATATAGTTTTTTTAGTATTAATTGCTACTTCTGGCATCACTGTTTTCGATATGGATACGGGGAAGCATCCCCTGGTTTTATTATAATCTTGGCGGTTATGGTGGCAATTTCGAATTTATACCAACTTGGCCTATAAGAATTTTTATTGTTAATTCTTTCGTATAAAAGAAAAAGGCTGTTTTATTACGAGAGGGCAATTTGCTTCCACGATATAAAGTGACGATAGAGGGCGTTATAATAGTTGTTTTAGAACGTATTACATTTGAGGTTATCAAAAATGTTGTTACGGAAAAATCTGGGTATACTATCGCCAATAAAATGAAAACTTCAAAAAATCTAAATATTTCATTTAAATATCACTGCATCAATCCACCATTTCTTAGTGGCTCTTAACAACATGTACTTAATTTATTATATAAAGTTGTGCAAAAACTAAGAAATATTACTCTGTATAATTTTGTGTCAAAAATTAAATTTGCAAAGCAGACATTTTTCTGTGTTATAAGACATATTCTTTGACGACAGATGGCAAAAATTCAGTGAAAAGTTTACCCCAAATCTATCATATATATCGGTTTGACCATATGGGCCCTTACAGAGAACCCCATCAAATAAAAAAGGAATCATCCTAGGGGGTAGACTGTAATAGATAAGTTCTTCGATCTCGATACTGGTTGATTGTACTTCTAACGATATCAAATTTATTCGTTTAGCAAAAATGATTGATGAAAGAAATAATTATTGATATATAGGATATTTACATATTCGCAGAGTATAACTATAAAACGTTACAGTAATTAATATAAAAAGTCCATAAAAGTATTAAAAATATTATTTGTAACGGCTTCAAACTATTATTCGTTATTCCCACGATGTTACCATGGGAAATCTTAAATTCAGTTTATGGCTTCTTGAAGGGCATGGTGGTCTTACTCTTATCCTTGGTTGAGCACAAAAGGGCTTTCTGAATAGGGATTATAATGTTTTCTTGATGCTGGTACCTAAGCATTAAAGAAAAATAGATTGATAGGACTTTTTTTGTAGAGGGTAAATAGGTATATACCTATTATACTCTTTAAATATTTAAAGACCGAACTTAAATTAAATAATAATTGATTAACAATGTATTTATTACGAATTGAAAGTTGAATAAAATAGTGAACAAGAAAATACAAAAAAAACTAAAAATAAGTTTCTTCTTCCATAGAAAACAATGGTGATATAAATATTAAAATAAATATATGCACTTATAATTTAAGCAAAAAAAGTTGATAGTTTGTTTCCATAGTATTAAATCTGCAAAACCCACTTGCAGTGTGCAAAGAAATAAAGGGCCACTAATAAAAAAAATATTACGATTAGTCAATGTATATTTCTACTGCTAGTGCAGTAAATTCAGGTTGAAAGTTTGAAATAAATAAATAATAAGTAGTACAGTAAATGAACAACAATAACTAAATAATGGTAACTTAATTGTTTTTGAGAAAACTAAAGTAAATCGATATGAGATGTGTGTAAATGGTACGAGAGTAAATGTTGAATGCAGCGAAGTGCGAATGCGAGCGTGCAGTACGCCGTGCCGCGCCGGCTGTTCTTCAGCCAGCGCAGGTGTTGAGACCGTGGCCTCCGACGACAAAGGCAAGAGCGAGCGACCCTCCTAAACTGCGTTCGTTTCGTTTCAGGTATCGACATGGGCAACTATTCTTAAGTGGGGACGCAGAGGCTTTCTGGAGGGGGCACCTGAACGACCAATAACGCCCCGACCTATGATGTCATCGGAGGAGGAGACAGAATTCGGAGTGTATACAGATAAGCTCTTGAAGAAAAGCAAAAGAACCAGACAGCGCGTAGACGCCGGCGAGCCGCGCAACTCTTACTCGTCGATCCCGAATTTCAGTTCGCGTCCGAACTTTCTCGGCTCAAGCGGCAACCTGTACGGGGCCATCTTCACGCAGCACCAACAGTTCGGACTGTTCGGACCCGGCTTCGCGCCCGCCAAGATGCTCAACGAGCTGCTGGGCCGCCAAAAAAGCGGCGACGGCAGCGAAGAGGGCGACTCGACCGCCCCGGGCGACGCTAGCCCGCCCGCGGACGCCCTCGCGCACCACATGCTACGCGACATTCTACAGGGCCGCAAGCACGACCTGCTAGCCCTCGACCACGACCTACGTCAAGAACACAACAACAACAACGAGCCCAAGGACAGCCCGGAACCTGGAGATCAGGGCCAGGAGGCCCGCGACGAGCCCCAGGCACAGCCCGAGCTACTGGAGGAGGCACTCAACGGCCTGGAGACGGCCTCGCTGCCCTCGCCCAAGGTAGAACCGGCCAGTCCTGCCAAGCCGGAGGATGCCAAAAGGGCTCGCGTGGAGCACATCGTGTCCGGCATGAGGGCCAGTCCCGCGCCTCCCCAAGTCAATGGCTGCAAGAAACGAAAGCTCTACCAGCCGCAGCAGCACGACAGTGCAGCGGACAGGTTTCTGGACGACGACGAGGAGGAAATCACCGAGCCGCTCAGACAGAAACGTGTTGAGAAGAATTTGCTCAAATCGCAGTTGAGAACTATGCAGGAACAACTAGCAGAGATGCAACAAAAATACATGCAATTGTGCACGCGAGTGGAACAAAACTCGGAGGAGAGCCAGGAGGTGGAAGAGATCCCCAGTGACAGTGAACAGAGCGGGAGGCGTTCGCCGCCCCCGTCGCCCGTGACTAGCACACCGACGCCGACGCCCGCGCCCGCTCCCGCGCTTCATGAGACGCCCAAACAGAAAATAGGCCCACCACCGCCTTCCTTCCACAACGGCCTGTTGCACGCTCCCCAGCACGTTAACAGCGCCGCAGCCATGTACCTAGGACACAAGCTGCTCATGGAGCAGGAAGCGAGAATGGCCAAGGAGGCGGCGGCGGCGGCTGCTCTCAGTGAGCAGCAACCGCCACCACAGCCACCTTCGGCACCCAAACCCGACCCCCTCACCGAAAGACTGCACCTAATGCGAAGCATGGCGGCACCCAGCGGTCCAGACCTCGAAGGGTTGGCCGACGTGCTCAAGACCGAAATCACCGCCTCACTATCGAACCTCATTGACTCCGTGCTATCCAGATTTGTGCACCAGAAACGGTGTAAGCAGCAAGACGCTGCGAACGCCGCGGAACAGCTCAACAAGGACCTCCTGATGGCTTCGCAGCTCCTAGACCGCAAGTCGCCCAGGACGAAGGTGGCGGAGCGACCCCAAGGGCCACCACCGCCCCCGAGCCACCTTAATGGCCTGGGGCAGATGATGCCCATGCACGGCCTCCACAGCAACGGCCTGCAGAAGCCGGCGGACATGCACGTGCGGCCGCCCATGTTCCAGCCGCCCAAACCACCCGGCATAAGCCAGGCGCCGCTCTACGCCATGAACCACCCCTTCTGCGTCCAGAAACAGGATACCCCCGAGCAGAACGAGGCCCTGAGTTTGGTAGTGGCACCTAAGAAAAAACGGCACAAGGTAAGGATTTTCAATAATATACAAATTAGAACCTTAATCGATATACTAAAAGAACTTTCATACCACAAGCACTGTAATTTCAAAAAGTATATTCACTATAATGCCAGTATTTCAAACATTTTGATTTTCTAATAAAAATCCTGATAATATACTCACTGCATGATACTTTGCCACATTAAGAATATTTTCACCAAAAAAATAAACACAAGCGGAAATTCCACTTCTGTTCAAATATCGGAATGCCTTTTCATCTCTTCATCAGTTGATATCTGGAATAGTGTGATTGATAGGAAGTTATCGATACTAAATACTAAATCACAGACTATGGAATTACATAATATTCAAAGAATATATTGATGGTTTGCTCCAAAAACTTATTTCACTTAAAACTGAGTCAAAATTGGTTCTTCATCTAATTGATTTTTTTCTATAGCATCATGTTAAAACATTATGTCTCTGATTATTGGACGAGGCATTAAAGAACTATTATAGCTGTAACTAAAAATAATGAGGGATTATTTTACTGAAATTTTTTCGTGTAAAATATAAGGTTATTTTTATTATATTTTAACAAATGAACTGACAGTATCAGTAAATGTTTTTTTATTACACTCAAGCCGAAAGAAAGGTTTTACCTTATTTGTTTATATTTATTAGCTTAATGAATAAGCTGGTAGAAAAAAGGATTTTTTAAAATGATGTTTTCAAATTGGTGGATTAGAAGAAATGGTTTAGAATTACATTTTAGATACACCGAATGGCATTATTTTTAAGATTTCCAACAAAATATCTAGTAAATAAGAAAACTTCAGAGTATCATTTTAATGGAAACAATTTTGAATTGATAGAAAAACGGTAAAATTGAAGTGAGGTAAAACTTTACCTTTATTTTCTGTTCTGAAATTTTTTTAAAATGTTTTAACAGTTCTTCAGAGGACCCCAAATCTCACAACTTTTAAAATCTCATGGTTTAACTAGAGTACTTTGTGTACAGATAAATCATTAATTCTTAATCACTGTTCACCTAAATAACATTTTTACTTTATGGCATTTTAAGCAGCAAATCAACGATATAGTTTAAAGGTTCACCCCATTATCACCTCCTTACAATCATCCATAAATTAAACCATCACCCTCTCGAAATACATCGAAACAACCCCAATAAAATAATGTAGGATTTCGTGCCGTTCAAGGTGACAGATACCCGCATCACCCCCAGGACTGTCAGCCGCATCCTGGGCCAAGACGGATCCATGGGCATGTCCCCCGGTTCTGCCATGGACCAGACCTCTTCAACGACCGGTGGTGGAGGTGGAGCAGGAGGAGCAGGTACGGGTGGAGGCGGTCCCCCCTCCTGTCCCTCACCAAGACCGCCGCCCCCATATCACCAGCCGCCACCGATGTTGCCCGTCTCCCTTCCGACGTCGGTGGCGATACCGAACCCGGGTCTGCACGAGTCCCAGGTCTTCTCGCCCTACAGCCCCTTCTTCCACGGACCAAGCCATGGCCACCACATGGCAATGCAGGTGAGTTTTTTGTTTATATGGAAGGAAGAGATAAGGAGAAACATATCTTATGGGACTTTATTTGAATAATTGGTTACCGAAATGGGAAAAATAAGGGTTTACTAAGTGAGAAAAGTGGTTTCAATTAGCGTAGAAGTTGTGGGTCTCCAACAGTCTAAGACACTCGAAAAAGTTCCTCACAATGTCTAAAAAAACACAATTAAAATTAATAGAATTTCCTAGCAACAGCTTGCAGTACTCAATTGTATTCATAGAGAAAGCCTAATATGTAGCTTATAAAACAATCAACTTTTGATTTTTAACCACAATTTTCTTGACGGATGATAATCAAAGGCAAAAATTACATTCCTCGCAAACTTTGAAGTATAATTAGTGGAAATGTTAAAAGTTTGTTAACTTCCACTAATTTTGGCGTTCTGAATGCTTAGGTTGTAATTAAAGGAACAAACTTCTACGCTAATTGAAACCACTAAATTATGCCACATGCCAACAGGTTCTGAATGAAGCTTAACTCTTTTTAATTATTTTCTGGCGTAAAAATTTTTGGCGCTTCTTTCGAATGCAATAGTAGAACATCTGCTACAGCAGCGCCATCTTAAGTGTTCTCTGTTTGATGACCACTTTTCAATACGCGTAGATAATTCTCCTTACTCTTCTCTTTACCCTCCATAGTTTTTTACAGATCATCTCTTTACCATTTTTTCGGTTTATTGCGTAAATTAATAAAATATTCAAACAAATAACTTTCGCCTTTTTAAAAGCGAAAACACTAAGCCAAATAAATATTGCAAAATTAAAAATGAAAATTGGTGTAAAAAAGCCGATCGAAAACAAATATAAATACATATAAACACGGGCACGCTCAAATAAATATAAATATAAATAAATATTTTTAAAGGTGATACGGCCAATTCGTTTTAATAACAATATCAAATTAAATTAAAAGTAAATTAGAAATAACTTTAACGCATGTAACGTGTCATACGGCCGGGAATACACGCGGCATCGATATTTAATTCAAATATTTATGGGTTTTATTTAAATAATTTGCTTAAAAATTAAATTGAAAATAAAATTATTGGCCGGCAAAAAGCGTTTCGATGTCGGACGGTGTGGCCGCAACAAGTTGTCGACTTTTTTTTAATCGATCCAATAATTGTCACAGATTTATTTTATTTATATGTGCTAGTTTTTATATCTCTGTACTTAAAGTAATAATATATTAAGCTGTAGTTCTTGCAGACAATTAACATCTAATTCTAAGTCACTCCTATATCTTATACAGTAACATAGTAGTACAAATAATAATTAATGTACAGTTCATACCAAATAAACTTTTAGTCACGTGATTAAGCTTGACCGGCACAGCGGTGTCCACTTTTACATATTTTATTTTAATCAAAATATTTTAGGAAACAAAAATAAATTATAAACATATAAACTTTATTTACATATTACGTTATTATTTACATCAACAAACCTCACCTTCTTAAGCACTTAAGGTACATAAAAGCCCATTACTACCGCTTTCCCGTTCAAAATATTCTAATAAAGTTGCTATGAGTTTTTTACGGCTATTAAGCTATCTTGTACACTTCGCTCTAAAAGAGGTTCTAAAACGAACAATGTTCGACTGCAAGGTCTGCTAGTAAACATTTGTAAGATTAAAGTATCACAACACTATTTATTTAAACCAAAAACTCGTAATTCAAAACTAAAGTGTCTAAACGAATGGCAATGTCAGGAAATAAATAAATAAATGCGGCAACTTGACATTTTTTACAGCAGAGCTACCATCTGGATCTCCAGCGGGAAACTTAAATTCGAGTTAGTTAGCATGATGCGGAATATGCCCATAGTTGGCAACCAAGGTTATTATATTAAACAGGTTGCCTTGCAACTTTGGACCAATCACAGCACTTGGCGCGATTACGTCAGCTACGGGAATTTTTAAAATATCTATTAACAAAAGGTTTAATAATAATAACAATAACACGAGCTAAATTGTTCTTCTATAAAATCTTTATTTATTTTTCTCTAATTTTGCTGATATTTGATATTTTTAAGCAATACTTGTATTGGGAAAAAATAGTTTTGCCTTTTTCGAAACCTAGTCGAAATAATTTATTTTATACATAGACATCACTCAGCAAAAACAATACTGAATATTATAGGTTGTTATAAGTAGGAATGATCTCTATTTCTAAGAAAAATTTGATAAATAATTTTAAAAAACTATCTAGTTTATTAATTATAATATGTTAAGTACACTAAAAGTAAAAAAAAATATTAATAATAATAGCTCCCGTATATAGCATCTAACGCCTTAGGAGTAGCAAGGTACAGCTTCTCATGCTAGAGCCGTTCGGTATACAAGGAGTGGCTAGCACTACGCTTCAACCGCCTATTATTACCTCAGGATTGCGAGAATCCTGAGTTCTCATTTAAGCCTGAGTCGACCTAGGTACCCAAACTATTTTTAGTTTATTAAAAATAGTGGGCTGATGAACTGCCGGCTGTAGGATTCGAACCCACAACCTTTATATTGGTAGACGAGAGCTGTACCTCTACGCCACCGGGCACCACAAAAATATATTACACGGAAAACCTTATAGGAAAACAATGTAAAATTATTTGTAAACAAGCTGAAAACTACTGAGAACCACACGATGACGCGCAATATGGCGGCCAATGTCAAGTTACGAGGCAACCTGTTTAATTTAATAACCTTGGTTGGCAACAATGCATTTAAAAATCGCGCCCTCGTTTACGTAACTAAAAGTTTAATTGATATCAAATATAGATAGCTGTGTTATCTAATATCTGATTTTTTTTTGTTCTATTTTAGGCTTCCTCCTCACCACCTCGCATGCACCACAAAATGGAGAGGGAGTCGCCCCCAGTACATCATCCCCCCACGCTGCTGCACCCCGCGCTTCTGGCCGCCGCCCAGCATGGCGGCTCTCCCGACTACTCCCACATGCGGGCCCCCTCAGGGGGCCTCAACATGGACAACGGCGACCGCAACTCCGACTGCAACTCGGGCGACATCTCGTACGACGGAATGCAACCTACTATATCCTTTTTATGCAAAGTAAATCGCAAATTTATTTAATTAAGGAAAGGATTCGTCATCGAAATTGAAAAATATCGATATCAGAGTCCGGCCCTAACATGTAACGTCGATTCTCGCGCCCATCTCTAGTTTAACAGTAACTTATCGATATTAAGCCTCGACTCTAACGATCTCCACACCCAAAAGTTTTAGCCTGATATATACAGGGTGGTCGGAACTGTATTCCGGAAACTTCGGCAGCATATTCTGCAGAAAGAAGAAGTAAAAAAGTTCGTATAAATGCATGTCCTAAAATGCTTAGTTTCGGAGATACAGGGTGTAGACTTTTCATTTTTATTTCGACTGTTTCCAAATAATTTCTAACGCCAATATTTGGATGAAATTTTTTGACTTGAGAAATTTGATTTTGATGTCAATATGACTCTTGTTTGTAGGGGGCGCCACTATATGTGTTTTAACTGTTTTGAAGAGTAATAACTTTTCTCTCTCGTCCGTACCTGTATAGAACTACTGAGTGGAAAAAGGAAAAAAAATCGCTACGAGCATCCGTTCTCAAGATATTTACAATGGAAATAGTCAATACATGTCATTATTGACAAAAAATAAACACTTCAAGTAGATTGTTATTTGACTGAAATAAATAAATTTTTATTTTTTTAAAATTAATCATAAATTTTTGTGCGAAAAAATTATGATGAAACAGTTTCTGTTGAACTCTTGGCACAAAAACATTTCAAATTTATGATTTCAGTCTAATAAGTATTTAGTCAACATATTTAAGTTATGTCAATGATGACAGGTATTGATAATTTCGATTCTAAATATCTCGAGACCCATTACTCGTAGCGATTTTTACCAAGAGACCTTTTTTACGTAAAAAATATCGCAAATGTATCTTTATTTACTCAGTAGTGTTAAACAGGTACGGACGAAAAGTTATTACTCTTAAAACCAGTTAAAAAATATGTAGGTGGCGCCCTCTACAAGTAGGAGTGATATTTGACGTCAAAATCAAATTTCTCATGCCAAAAAACTCCCAGACACAAATTTTTATCCAAATAGTGACGTGACTTCCTAAATTATTTGGAAAAAATCGAAATAAAAATGAAATTTCTACACTCTGTATCTCCGAAACTAAGCATTTTAGGACGAACTTTTTTACTTATTTTTATCTGCAGAATAAGCAATCTGCAATTATCTGCCGCCGAAGTTTTCAGAATACAGTTCGGACCACCCTGTATCCCTGTATCCTTGAGAGCCTTAATATAAATTATCGACATTCACTCACATTCCTAATATAACTTTACTAAACATTTGACTTTAAATTACCAACGATATCCGATAAAAGAATAATAAAGCTTTGTAAGACTTCTAGTAGGCATATCATTTGACCCTAAGGGGAGTGGAGTGTGGAGAGCTTAGAACCCTGATTAGAAAGAACTCAAATAACGAATCAAAGCAAATCCTCTTTATAGAAACCCGACAAGTGTTTCAAGGAAATCATCTAACTATTTTTTTATACAAGCGATGCTATGAATAATAGAAATCTTGTTAAAAGTTGCCTTATAATAAATATTGGCCTTCTTTATAGTTTTTTTTCTGTATTAAGATATCAGCCGGTTATTGTGGGAAGATGCACACGTGATATGATAAAAAGAGTATTTTTCCCTAGTAATGTATAGTTATTTTGCTCGGGTTTTTGCAGCACGCATTCTTAAATATTTATTTCAAATTGATTCGCATATATCTGAAATTTTAATGTTTTTTAGTACTAAAAGGTCTTAATATATTCACCGTTGACGTTACATGTTTATATTTTTTATTGTTTTTGATGGTATTTTGCAGAAAAAGAAGAAATCAGTGTTCAAACATGTTTTTATAATGCAGTATAGAAATTAGACGAATTTGTTTAATTTATTATTAATTATACCATTAATTCGAGGTCCTAACTCTTAACTCGCAGTCATAAAGATATATAAATCTGTTAAATCTTCAGTCTGAATATTAGGTGTATACCGGGTGCGTCTCAAATGTGGCTCACCCCTATAACTTTTTTATTTTTTCAGATAAAAAAACGAGATTTGGTATCTTAGTATATGACATAAAGTAGGATTGATTGACGTATTCAATTGTTTTCGGTGACTTCCTGTTTCGCCGGAAATGGCTACAACTTTTGATTTTTAAATGCCACCCTCGGTATCTTTTTACTTTATTCGATAGAAAATGACACTCTGAATCGAATGACATATCATATGTCAAATTTTGACATATTCGCTCAAAAACAAATTGTATTTTAAATTTCAATCTCGAGTACCATGGCTGTGTTAAAAACACTAATTTTTAACCAAGGAGTTTTGGAAAAATAGACTTGATCGTCTAATGTTTTAGTGTCTTGTCCTGGCCGGTTAAAAGATGACCAAATCGTATTTTCAATCATATCTCAATTTTTTCAAACGGGACAAGGCTGGCTCATTAGCATATTTGGAAAAAGCATTTTTTTACGAATAATTTGATACCACACACTTGGTATTTCGAGTCAAATTGTCGTTATGAACCGCAGGTTATAATTTCAAATAAACAATATGCTAAATTTCAAAAGTTGACATATGATATGTCATTCTATTCAGAGTGTCATTTTCTATCGAATAAAGTAAAAAAATACCGAGAGTGCCATTTAAAAATCAAAATTTGTAGTCATTTCCGGTGAAACCGAAAGTGACGGAAAACAATTGGATATGTCAATCAATCCTAATTTATGTCATATACTAACATACCAAATCTCGTTGGTTTATCTGAAAAAAATAAAAAAGTTATAGGGGTGAGCCACTTTTGAGACGCACCCGGTATAGAAATTAATTTCTATATAGCAGTTCTCTCTAGCAGGCAAAAAACTCTAATTTTATTATATGCCTAAAAACTGCAAGAAGTATTTTTTCATTTTATAGAAGTATCGATATAGGTCAATTTGTTATTTCATTAATGGTCTGCGAACTTCAACTGCATTAAAAAGCAACTATTTCTTCTTCTTTTGCACTATACGTGCGTAAAAGAAGGCGCTTTATATTACAACGCCTTCTTCCTATTCTATTTCAGCCAAATATTTCCTTAACATCCGATCACTCGTCCACATTGACACCCATGCACCTGAGGAAAGCCAAATTGATGTTCTTCTGGGTGCGGTACCCCAGTTCGGCTGTCCTAAAGATGTACTTCCCCGACATCAAGTTCAACAAGAACAACACTGCCCAGTTGGTCAAGTGGTTCTCTAATTTCAGGTGAGTGATGCCAGTAGTTTTTTGTAGCTCAGCTTGGGACACCCTGTATAAGTATATATATACAGGTACGTGTATACAGGGTGTTTCAAAAAACAGGTGCCATCTCTCGTGGGGAGATTCTTGACGTAAAAATAAGATATATTTTTCATATCGATATAGGTCCGATTCTGTTTTGTCTCGTAACTACAGGGTGTTAAATTCTTAATAATCTTTCGATTTATTATAATTTTCTTCCAAGTACTTTTAGTGATCTGAATGAAATTTTGAGGGTAAAAGTTACTACAAGTGCTACATACTTTAATGCTAATAAAATGTCGTTAAATTCATCAGGGAGGTACATATATGGGTTACCACGGGAATATTTTTCAGAAAGAACATGTGCGCTACTGATTTTTTTCTTTTGATATCAAAATTGCGTAGGCCGTTTAATGCTAATAAAAAGTTATCTCTTGATATTTTGTCGAATTCAGCTCCTTAATGAGATTGATCCGCAATTTTATTAATCACAATTAATAAAATTAAAATAAAAATATAATTAATAAATTATATATTTTACCTAATTTATTATTAAATATTATTTCCATTAGTTATTATTACTATTAGACCAACCTACAGCAATTTCAAATAAAAAAATAATGGTATATAAGATAATTACAAAAAAACTAATTTTAAAAAATGTTAACATCCTGTAACTCTAAAACTATGCATTTCCATACCCATGTTTATAAGAACTTTTTTTCATATTTTTCGATGAGGAATCAAGGCAAGAGATGAGCAATTAAATAAGTTTTGCAAGTTAATGATATTTAAAATGTTTAAAGATTATTATGTTGCCATTAGACTTGGATCAAGGCAAATTAATAAAAAATTGCGTTTATCTCAACAAGGAGGTCGAAATCGACAAAATAACAAAAGACAACTTTTAATCGGCATTGAACTTGCTTTTAAAAAAAAATATTCTAGTTATAACCCATATTCACGTTCCTGGTGAATATGTCGACACTTTTTTAGCTTTAAAATATGTCGCATTTATAGTAACATTTACCCTTAAAATTTCATTCAAAACGCTAAAAGTACATGGAAGATAATTATAATAAATTGAAAAAATAATAAGACTTTACCACCCTATAGCTACGAAATAAAGCAGAATCGGACCTATGTTGATATGAAAAATAAATCATATTTTTAAGTGAGAAATCCCCACCAAACACCCTGTATTTGTATTCGTATCTAACATAGTAGAAAAACCTGTTCTTATTGATTATTTTTTTATGAGACAGACGTTCCAAAACATATTATCTTAAACACATAGCAATATATTAAAGACAATATGCAGATATATCAAACTAAGGACGTTAATTCCCATTTTTATCGAGGAAAATCCTTCAATTTATCAGCTTTTGTCCCGTTATCTATCGCCATATGTATCTTTTGGAGTGATAACAACGACCTGTAATTTCTTCCCCGATAAGCTTGGCGACTGGCTCGTGTGAAAGGGCAATCGCGAATTGAAGGCAAAGTGCTTATGCGATTATTAGTGTGGGTTCTTTTTGTTGTCGAGAGAATATAGAAAAACAACAAAAACGAAACTCGGGAGAATAAAGCCGGCTGCCTTATCGATTTTGTTTTTATCTTATCGTTGTTAATAGACCATCTGGTGCGGAAAGTGCTTGTAGTTTGTTTAAGCCGGTAAGGGTTAAGAATAGATAAGTACCGCGATGTAAATTTTGAGCCTCTATGACTGTTTTATTTTTTTCTGTTTTTTTTGCTGCATGGAAAATATTTCTATTAAGGAAATACTAAATGAAATAATAAGTTTTTAGTTAAGAGTCCATTTCACTAGTCCGAAAAAGTAGCAAAATAAACGTTCGGTATTTAACGTTTTATGTAAAACTGGCTTGGTATTTTTACACAAATGGAGAAGGAAATTAAAGATAAAGGATTATACTATATCCGTATTGTAGTACATTTTTAGACAACTCCTTTATTTTTAAGATTTTGAAGGTCAAACATCAACAGAATATTCCTTATGTTTGGACAAAATTTTCTCGAAAATAAAGACATAATTTAAAATTCCGTTACAATATGGAAATAGATTGAAGTTTTGTGATTACAGTGATATATAATTTATATGGTTTTGTAACAAATTGCTCGCTATTTTATGGCTCTGCAAACCTTAATCAAGCCTTAGTCAAAGCACGTGTGTTTAGAATTTTGGGTGTGGCTTAACACGACAGGATCGGGCTAAGCCTTAGGCAGCTTTCTGAAATATAATATATATTTCTTTCGGCCACACCGAGGGCGACCCATAATTACAGCGTAATAGACTCTTAATTAACTGTAAAATATGTTATTAATACGATTATTACAAAAATATTTGCCAAAATTTTTTAATAAATTTATGAGATAGGTTTCGCAGGATTTTAACAAAAATCTCTGTCGACAACATAGCGTTTCACGTTTCATTACGGAACCAATTCCATTACCATTACGGATTACCAAACCAAACCAAACCAAAACACTATCACGACGTTGTCAAACCTCACCTCAACCGGTTTTTAACGCCCAAATAATCTTAATTAATACGAATATTTAAGTGAACGTGTAAGAAGTCGAAATGTAATTAATGCAGTGGCTTGGACTAATGAAAAATCTCCAGCTACGGCCATCGACCGGCTTGACCGGAAGTAATTTACCGGATGGGGATGGAACTGGAGGGCTGCGTGGGGCGGCAAATCCCCCGCCCCCAATTACCAATCTAATTAATTAGCGTAATTGGTACATTGTGATTATGCACGATCGGCAGTTAATTATTTAACTCGATCTTATCGCCGTTTCGGAATCTATTTCGGTGATAGCATCAGGGCGTTTAATAAGGAAAATGAAAAGCGATTGAAAGTGAGTGACGACCTGGCGTAAGCGTCCTTCACATTTAAGAAAAAATAGTACCATATACTTAATAAAAAATAACTGGAAGACTCCATTCGTAACCTGGAATGGGATTCCTCCAACGGTCTAAGACACTAGAAGATTTAAGTAAGAACAATTTTCGGATTGTCAAGGGGTTTTTAACAGGACACCGTCTCCTCAACGAACACCTCAGTATAATGAAGCTAAGAAACAACAGCGAATGCAGATTTTGTGGGAAAAAATATGGAAACACCAGAACATCTAATTACTGAGTGCGCCGAGAGGGTAACCATTCGTGCCATGAAGTTTGGTACGACTAATATTGGAGATGGAACAAACCTCTGTAGAACAGTCTCAGATAAACCGAGACTGTACGATGAGTCATAGCTCAAGAAAGGGGGATACAATATTGATTGGGGGTTTATCACCATACATCCCAACTTTGAAGCTTTGAAGATAGCTGGGAAATGATAATCGATGATAATTTTGGCAAGATCAATTTCTTCACGTCGTTTACTAAAAATTGGCATAAAATTTCCTTATATTACAAATCTATTTCCCATAAACAAACTTATATATAATAGCTCTAAAAGCTTAAAAATCTGTGCTCGATATAGTTGCTTTAATTCTTCATTTGTACTTCTGGTCCATATGTTGTCTATCTTCTTCCCTCCAAAAATCTTCCTCAGCATTTTTCTTTCCCGAATCTCTAGCATTGAATTTTCCATTTCATTGATCGTCCACGTTTCACATGCATACATTGGTTGTATCATTGTTTGGTACATTCTGATTTTTAAGCTTCTAGAGAAGTTTTTGCTCTTGATAATTTTCTGTAGTTTCTGTAGTGCTCACACATCTATTTCCTGTCATTATTCTTGCCCCAATTTTCTTTTCAAATTTGGTTTCCTTATAAATTCGGTTCCTAGATATGTGAATGTATCTAGTATATATTCTTCCTCAAACTTGTATTGTTTTCCTCTCTCAGAATCTATTTGTAGACATTTTCCCTTCTCAAAATCCCTATCTGACCACTCCATAAACTTAGTTTTCTTCTCATTAAACACTAAGCCTACTTTTTGCGCTTAATCTTCTAGTCTTTTGGTCACCGATATCAGCTCTTTCCTATCTCTTGCAAAGATAACTAAATTAAGGCTAAGCACTTGTGTATCTGGTAGTATTTGAAGGTTCAATTAATAACTTCAGAAAAGGGCCAAAAATGAGAGAAGCAGCGATCTGTGTAATATTTTTGAAGCCTGAAAAGCCAGTTACTACAACCTAACCTACAGGTGAAATATCTAGTTACAATTGTGGAGAGTAGAGGTAAGGAGAATTATCTTCGTGTAAAGTTGTCATCAAAAAGGGAACAGTTAAGAAGGAGGTGCTGTAGCAAAAGTTCTACATTTGAAAGAAGCACTTAAAATTTTTAGAACAGGAAATATTTAAAAAGAAATAGATAAATATGCGATTTTAAAATGCACTCATGGATGTCTTTAGTGCAGTATCAAGATTACTTTGGTTTGGGTCAAAAGACATCCACAATATATTGGGCAATCAGAAGCTGAAATTGGCTAAGACACAATTTTTTATCCAGTAGAAAAATATAGTAAATACGCCAATGGGGTATCACACACACAAAAATCTCAATTCTAATTCCTTTATTTTGCGAAAAGCGAGTATCGTGGACAATAAATACTTGCGAATGAAAATTTGAGAAAAATTATGGAAGAACAAAGAGCGCAATCCGTATTCTCTCCATTATTTTCTTCTCTTTTCCATCGACGATTGTTACCCCAACTCGCTTAACTCTAATTAGTCATTGTTAATTAAGAGAAAAAATAAAAAACAGGGCACGAAAAAATCACATCGTATTGAATAATATGTCGGAGAAGTCTCATAGTTTTTAAACAGTCAATCGTGAACTGCCGCAGTTTTCTTTTCCATTGTTTAATTTTCTTCCGCGCTCTCTTTTATATTGTAGGCCTTTGTGCTCCGAGGGCAATTTTTAGCGAATAAGAAGGGCTCGGGAGAGAGAAAAACCCGGTAGTTTTTCCTTAATTACGAAAAGAATACTCAGGAATTTCCTCTTATAA